GGATTGGCGTGTGCCAAACGCAGGGGTGCTACATGATGCCAGTGCATGCTACACATAGGAACAATCAAGGTTAGTTGGCTTTCCACATGCAAGTGGCTCACCATTATGCCGGCCAGACCCTGAAAGAGTTTCCCCTTTAAAGCTGCACGATGCCCACCCACAAGATTTCACAATACTTCTCGCCAGGCCACGCTGTCGAAGCCCGGTGGTGGGCATATTGGCGGCGGAGGCGGGCAGTCGGTCTGGTCCACATCATTGAGCACGGAAAGGTCCAAGCCAAGATCCGAAGCTATGCCGCGAACTTTTTGCACCAACGCTTCGTCACGCTGCTGCTGCCGCGTGAGAATCCAAAGGCCTGAGTCGTTGATGCCCGTGCCCGTTCTGCAGGCAGACTCTGTGGCAATTTTGGGGGGTCCACCGGAAATCAGGGCGTAGCCTTCCTCCTCGTTGTAAGCCAGGACCCAGTAGGGACCTGCAAGAGCTGGAACCAAGAAACATGAGGCCACTTCCAGCCGTCCCTTGTCCTGGTCCACAATCCTCGCACACACATTGCCACTGATTTCTGTAAAAGGAGGCGTCACGGATTGGGCGGAGTTGAAGACTGCAATGTCGTAACCCAGGAGGCTGCGCTGCAGCTTGTACTCGGAAAACACGCAGCGATTCCTTGCATGCTGCAGATCATATCTTAAGAAGTGGCCTTCGTGATGCAGGTTTTGCAGCATTACGTACTGCATGGAAAAAGCCCTACCTAGGGTTTGGGCATACCGCGGGCATGAGAGAAGGAGAGGGAGAGAGCAGAGAGGGGTAGAGAAAGAGAGAAAGAGGCTGAGAAGGAGCAGGAGACAGAGGCGGAGATGGAGAGGCGGAGAGGTGGAGGGGAGGAGACGGAGAAGGAGAGAATCATCCCAGCCAGATCCCGCGAGGTTGAAGGCTCTGCGAAGCGATGGTCGACAGAGCGCTCCCTCACCAGTTGCAAAGTCGTACTATGCTCTACCGGCACCACGAAAATGTCGAAGTCTCAACATGATGTTGCGACCTGCATGTTGAGGCCTGAAGTTGCCTGCATTGGATACCTGATTTTACTGGACACCTTTTTTGCAGCTAGAGCGATGAGCCTGCGCTGGTGCTGCTAGTGCTTGCGAGGCTCTGCGATTTCGGAAAATAACTGACTTCCATCTGCTGCTGGACGTTCCAGCGTTTGGAAACGAAGCCCTCAAGGTCAAAGTCCGTCACCTGCGGATGGTTGGCAAGGTTCTAATTTTGGTAGGATTGACAGGGTCACATGAAATTGGACAGTCAAAGCCGATTCATTGCCACTGCGACCCCGACAACAACAATTTGAAAACTACACGATATCCAGTCATATCAAGTCAGTGGGCAAGGAGGAGATTCTACATCTTGATGCCAAGTCACACTTTGGAAGCCTGCTGGTGGACATTCAGGCGGCGGTGGTGGCGGGGGCGGTGGCGCAGGCGGGCAGTCGGTCTGGTCCACATCATTGAGCACGGATAGGTCAAAGCCAAGATCCGAAGCTA